ATAGTTATGGCTGGTTAGTTATAGAGTCCGCACCCCTGGGAACCCTTCCAGTCACCCAGCTTCAATTTAGCTTCTGCCCAGGTTTTTGGGCTTCGTATGCTGCATTTCTTGCCCTGAGCCTTTTTCTCTCAGTGGTGACCACCAATGCTCTATCTGTTGCCAGGTGGGAGGGGGAGGCGGCACAGGTCCCCGTCAAACACCTTGTCTGACTTCCCTTCCCTAGCAGAATACAGTAGGGTTGCCAGATGGCTGAAACAAAAATACCGAACCCCTCCTTCCCCCCCTCCAAAAAAAACCACCGGGAAAAACTTTTGTCGAAGGGGAAGAAAAAAGGGGGGGGGAGACCGGGCCAGGAAAGGAGTGGTGCTGGCTGGGGAAGGAAATGGGGGGGCAACGGGAAGCAGGGCTGATTGTGGGGGAGGGGGATTGGGCGGAACAGGACTGGCCGCAGGATATCGGGAGAGGTGGGGCAGGGCTGGCCGGGAGTAAGGGTGGGCGGGAAGCACAGCTGGCCGGGGGAGGGGGGGGGTTCAGTGGTGCTGGCTGGGAGGAAGAGGGGTCAGGAAGCAGAGCTGGGGGGCGGGGGGGGGGGGCGCTGGCCAGGGAAGATGAGGAGGGGAGTGGAGGAGAACCAGCTAGCCGGGGAGGGGGGGAAGGGTGAGGAAATTGGCTGGCGGAGAGTGGGACTGACCTGGGCACTTGCTGCCTGTCCTGCGCAGGCTCCCGGCGATGCATAAACGAGGAGAAGGCTTCCCCTCCTCTTCACGCTCAACCAACTGAGGGCTCCCTGCCTCCCAGCTACTCCCCCTGCCCACGCCAAGCTTCCGTCCGGTGCGCAGTCGGAAAAATCAGAAAATACCGGATATTGCACATGTTCTGTATTTTCTGATTTTTTTTACCGGACTGAGCGCGCAAATACCGGACTGTCCGATACAATACTGGACACCCGGCATCCCTAGAATACAGCAGGCACTAAAGCTCGCACTTCAGATGCACCTCATGGAGCAGGTGTGGCAGCGCGTCGGGGTTCCCCCGCCTCCTGCACCCCTGTAGTGGCATGAACAGACTCCACCAGCCGGTAGACTAGAGGGAGTTTATTGCTTCTCCAGGCTGCAGCACAGCACAGATGTAATCTGGTTACAGGAACTGGGGCTAGGAGGTAGAATAGAGGGAGTTTATTGCTTCTCCAGGATACAGCACAGCATAGATATAATCCAGTTACAGGGCCAGGCCTAGGATAATCCTTGAGATGGGGGAGACTGGGTCCTTAAATCCCAGCCCCCTGCTTAGGCTGCTTTCTCCATGATTCCAGACAGAAACTAAAACCCTCTTCCAGACCTGCCCCCCAGCCAGAGGCCGGATCTCGCCCTCCTTCCTTTGTCTCACTCCCTGGGAGCCAACTGGTTGGACAGGTTGGGAGCCACTTGCATAATGACCCCTGTCCTGCTGGGCCGTGTTACAAACAGCCGCCAGTGGGGGTCACCCACAGTCCACTGCCCAGCATAGCAACCAGCAAGGTACCAACACTACATGACAGCAGGTGATGAGCAGTCAGGAGTAAGGCCCTGCAGCTGCGGCTGCTCAGTACTCCTGGCACCCTAATGAGCCAACCCAAGGGACCGCCCTGCCTGATTGGCTGAGGAGCTCAGCAGGCCAGTTCTTAAACCCAGCATCAACAGCTCACTGGCAGCTCAGTACACACACAGCTACGGACCCTCTGCTTCCCTGTGTTCATCTCTTTCCAAGCCTGCATCCAGCTTTGCTCTTCTTCAGCCCCAGCCACGATCTTGCCCTGCACCCAGTCTTGTTCCTGTAGCCAACCAGCCTTCCCTCTGCCTCAGAATTACCGCATCTCCTACCCTCCCTGACTCCTGGTAACATGATTCCTGTGCTCTGATTCCTGACTTTAGCTCTGCCTTGACTCTTGGTTCTGTCCTTCAGACTCTGACTTGGTTCTGACACTGCTGGGATCCTTGACTTTCACTTCAGCCACTAAGTGTGACCGTCTACAGTCCAGTGCACTGACGTGGGACGCCCATCAGACTCAGGCCATAAATGTGCACCTGTATATTGGCCATAGTCAGAAAGGGACATGCCCATTAGCTCTGTGCCTAACTCCAGAGCAGAGAGGGGCAGAAGGAAGGACCCTCTGACTTGTCTCCCTTGTGAGAGTAAGGGGCATTTTTGCTAACAAGCTGATTCCCCTCTTAGACCTTCTAAGAAAAAACATCCTTCTCCAACCCCATCCAGCTGAGGTGAGCCTATAGGCATAGGCTACAGTAATTTAGATCATTCTGTGTTGCATGGGCCTAGTCAGAAGACACATAGAACCAGGCTTCTTCTGTATGGCTTTTGCATTGACCTCAACATCATACTTTTATGTGGACATTCATCCCTCTTGCAGATGATCCCTCAGGTTTGTGTTGGGGTCACACCACTCTCAGTAGAGAATGCTGCTGTGTTGAGTAGCTACAGATTGAAGCTCCGAAATCCAGGACTTTCTGGTCCGGCAATATCCATGGTCCGGTACCTGAGGGTGAGAACTGGCTGGGAGCTCCAGTGGAATTGGTGAGCCCTGTCCCCGGGAAACCCTGGTTGGGTGGGACAGCAGAGGGACTAGCAAGCCCCATCCCCGGGGAGCCCTGGCTGGGCAGGGCAGCTGGCAAGCCCCATTCCTGGGGATTCCCGGTCAGGTGGGGGAGAAGCAGGGCTATGGCTGCTGGGTCGCGCCGTTCCCAGGGAGCCCCAGCAGGCCGGAGCCCAAGTCCAAGCCCTGCCGGCTGGAGCCCAAAAGCCATGAGGCTGGAGTGGAGCCAGCCAGAGGGAGAGGGAGTGTCCTGGGATGCTAGTGGCAGGAGACCTCTCCTAATCCAGCGAATTTCCCTCATTTGGGGTGGGGCAGGACCTGAGGGTGACAGACAAGGGAAGTCCAACCTGTACAACTTCCAGGATCTTCACAAAACTGTTCTGAAAAGTAGCAGCTCAGGCAAGGTGACACCACAGTCTTCTCGTATTGGGACAACTGACGTCTGACCAGCAGGTCTTGCCTGTAAGTCTCAACATCAGACATGTTGCTGCTCCTTTCAGCATCCCTGGAAATGGGTATAAACATGGGGGGAAATCTCGCCAATACTCCCAATAGAACGTATGGGAGTGACAAAGGATTCAATTAAAGTGAGAGCCTGTCTTTCCAGGGTCAGATTTCATGAGAAAGGCACGCTCTCAGACCTGATTACACAGACTCTTGATCATGAATTTGGACTGGGCTGTATTGTGTCATGTGTTTCTGTAATGCCATTTGCTCAAGTCCATTTTTGTTTCTTGTAAGCATAAACAGGGCATATAGCGAGCAAGCACAGCACGAATCCCATAGTAACAGTTCCCTCTGAGGTGAGGGCCCTTCTAGCATAAAGGTATGCCCCTTGATGTGTGTGAAACATCATCCTATTGGCACTAGATCACCCCGGGCATCCAGAATTCCTTGGTGTGACTGATGGCAAAATGCTTGCTGAGGCTGTCCCAAGTAGTTTTCTGATTTGGCAGTCAAAATGCTTGACTGATTGGGAAACTCCCTCTTGAGAAGTAGAAAATAAACTGCTCCAGGAAAAGCCCAGGGTCCATACCCTAGGTCCATTGCACTCCTCGTACCTTGGACCAGTCACTTTTGGTTATGAGTTCCCTTCCACTCTGCTGCTACCTTGAGTTCTACAGAAATTTGACTAGACAGCCTTCTTTCTTCCAGCTGGCCCAAAGCCAGACAATTTTGGTTTCCAGGCCTCCTTCAAATGTCATCCTGTCCAGCTATCAACATTAGAACCTGTGCGGATATCCTGACCTACAAAAGTGGTGGGGTCAGGCATCCTGGCCCCCGTGCTCTGTATCTCATGGTATGGTATTTGATTTGTCAGCCTAGAACTCTCCTGCTCTAAAGCCATACAGGTCATCCTTAATGGTAGCAGAAAGGACTCTTCTAGAAAATACTACCTGTCCAAATGGAGGAGATTTTCTGTCTTGACCCAGCAAAGCCATATAACCCCAGCGACAGCAAATATTTCAGCTGTTTCAGAATATCTTCTTACCTTCAAGACGATGGGCCTCTTAGCTCACTTAGCTCACTTAGTGCATGTTGCCTGCCAATGGACAGTTGCTCAATCTTTATATGCTTGGTAACAGCCAGGGTTTTGAAGGGCCTGATCAGAACCTTTCTGTCAGTCAAAAAGCTAGGTCCTGACTAGGATCTTAATGTAGTGCTCTCTGTGCTCCGTTAGCAATGTGATCTATGTCTCACCTGTCAATTAAGTTCACCTTCCTTATTGCCCAGAGGGTAGGTGAACTAGAAGCATTAGTGGTTGACTCACCTTACATTATATTTAATCAGATTCATGTCTTGCTATGACTACATCCTGAAATTCATTCCTAAAGCTGTTTCAGAACTGCATGAAAAAGTCAGTTCTTTTACTTGTATTTTTCCCAAAGTCCCATCCCTTTAGTGTGGGGAGACTTGAGATGAACACTGGCATCTTACTACAGAGAAGAAACCGATCAGAAAATCACCTTCAGTGTTTGTTACCATGCAGAATGCATGTGAAGATGAGCCATATCCTCTCAGAGAATCTCTGTGTGGCTTCTGCTGTAGCGAACTAACCACACTCAACCAGCCAAATAGCCACATAGTTCAAGCCAACTAGCCATGCCACGTTTGGCTAGTGGTTAGCATGTTGGACAGTGCAGCCTTAATCCATGGAAGAGACTGTTTTTCTCTAGTTCTCAATGTGTATTGTTTTTAAGGATGAGGCAGAGTAACATCATGTTAGATGTTTAATTCCTTGTGTCAAAGAATTAATTGGATGGATAGAAAAAACCCTTTGTGGATAACTTTGGGAGTGTGTGACCACAAACAGTCACATTTGTATTTGAATAACTCAGTATAATAGAGCGTACAATGGTGCTGCTAGCAGTAGCTTATTTTTTAATTCCTTCCTTTTTTTTTTTTTTTTTAGGTGTGGCTGGACCTTTTGAAACCTATTATGAAACAGATTAGAAGTAAGTGCTTACTTTGTGTCATTTACTTTATCAATCCAAAATAGTTAAATGGTTGAAGAGGACATCCTCAACTTTAACTTCAGATATGTACCTATAACACATGTTGTGTGCTATATACGTTGTATTCATAGTGACATTTTAAAATCAAAGAGTCTGCTAGTTAAAATTCATCTTTGGTAGCCTGCCAATACTATGGTTAATAATAATGCTTATACATGCACTCAACACACCTTTGATCAGTGCTAGTTTTTTACAGTACTGAGGAAACAGTGCAGCTAAGATGCTACCAGTTTTCATTCATGTATAACCTGCTTAAGATTTGGATCATATCCTTTTGCTATTGATCATGCTGAGTCAATTTCTATCAAACACAATGATAATCATGTTTCTGTATGTAAAGTGTTTTACTTCTGTCATTCAGATTTTAAACTAAACTTTATATAGAAACACACATTCCATAGCCCATTGAAGGGATCAGATAGTGGCAGATTTTAGAAAGTTGTGGCAAGTACTAGGGGTAGCAGCTTTATTGATAATGGCAGCAAGGTAAGGTAGATATAGGAATATATAATTAAAGGAAAAGGTTTAACAGCAAAGGTAGTTTGCTTAATGACCCAGTATTGCCAGCAATATGGGGGGCTGGAGGGAGAAAGAAAAGAGGTATAGAATATATCAGTGGGAATGTGTTAAGGCTTCCTTTTGTGATCTGTTAAACACAAGTTATTAACCAATCTGAGGAACTTCAAAAATACTAGTAGAAAACAGGTTAATATTATTTTTTACTTAATACTCTGTTTCCATATGAGAACGTGCAGATTGTTCCAAATGTTTCATGAATTTTCCTTGGTCTTTCCTCCTAGGACCGAAGCATGTTGTCGTAAAATTTGTGGTGAAATTCTTTCCACCGGACCATGCTCAGTTGCAAGAAGAACTGACAAGGTCAGTGATTCTGTGATTCCTTTTTTTTTTTTTTTTAATTCCTTAATGGATAAAAGCAGGGAGCAATATGGGAAGCACCAGGAGATGAGGGCTGGGGGGTTATCTGAATATTCCTTCTGTTACCTCCCCTCTTTTCTGCCCTCTCTATGGGATGTAATTCCCTGGAACATGCTGTGCAAAGGAGCACCAGGGAAATGTGATGCAAGAACACACCATTTCTTACCAAGCCTCAGAGGAAAGACAGTGCAGCAAGGGGTTTCCAGGAGCAGCAATGGGATAAAGGAAATAGCCAAACTCCCTTACTTTCAGTCCCCAGTGGACCTGAACAGTGGAGCAACCTAGCTCCCTTGAGAACTCCTCTCTGCTTGGGACCATAACCTGAACATCCAGAAGATGGCTCTAGCTGAGGCTGCCAGGTGCTACAGCTGGATCATGCATTCACATAGTCCTTATGAACTCAGAAGAGTCACAAAAGTGGGTTTGTGGGGTGTGTGTGTGTGTGTGTGTGTGTGTGTGTGTGTGTGTGTGTGTGTGTGTGTGTGTGTAAGAATTTGTCTAGACTGCAGGGTTTCTTCAGAAAAACAGCCATTTTTCCGAAAAAACTTCACTTACACTGCTATTGTGTTCTTTTGAAACAAAATCGAAAGAACGCAGGGGATTTTCCGACATTGGTAAACCTCATTCTACAAGAAAGAAGCCTTTTCTGAAAGAGCTTTTTTGGAAAAAAGTGTGTGTGGACACGGAAAAGAGAGTTTTTTTTCAAAAGAAGAGGCTGCCAGGAAAAAGCACAGGTGCCCTGGTGGACACTCAGTCCAAACTAATCACAGCTCCTAATCATAGTTCCTATCTCCTGCCAGCTCTAAAAGCTGCAGGCACCCTGGACTCGCCTTGTGGCAGGAAGCCAGCCTTGCAGCAGCGCTCTGACTGCTGAAGACCTGCTGATCCGTGGCACAGCCACAAGCCCCCGTGACAGCCCTGGCCCACACAGGAAGCAGAACTAGGGCTCCAAGGACCCACCCAAGGGCACCAAATGCTGGGCACCCTTCTGGTCCAGGGCGGAGATCCTGTGCCTCCTTGAGTTGTGGGGCAAGGAGGAAACAATGCAGGATCTCTGCTCCTGGAGGCGTAATGCGGACATTTATGGGCGCATGGCTGAAGCTCTGGCCCAGAGGGACACCACCCTCACACCTTGGACCAAGTACTGAACAAGGTGAAGGTGCTCCAGCAAGGGTACGCCCAAGCCAGGGAACGCAGCTCTCGCTCTGGGGCAGAACCCCACTCCTGCCCCTACTACAAAGAGCTGCATCTGATCCCAGGGGGAAGGGAAGCCCTTTCCCCACCCATACGTGGACTCGGGCCTAGAGACACCCATGCTCGCCCGCCCAGAGCTCCTTGAGGAGGAAGAGGATGACGAACAGCAGCAGCAGGAGGAGGACACTGGCAGCATCATCACCCTCAGCCTGGAGCCGGTTCCCCAGGGCCTGGAGATCTCCCAGGCATCATCTGACGTCGGGAGGGATCATCAGGTGAGTGTTCTCATTTTGTTACACATACAGGGCGGGAGAATGTGGGCTCAGAGAGGATGGGGTGCGATCGTCGCTTGGTATGTTCGGCCTGGACAGCATGCTACTGTCAGTGCATGTGCAAGCACGTGCAGCGGCAGTGTGTACAACGTAGTCTCAGGAGCCAGCCCCAGAGCACACACTGGCAGCTGCTCACAGGCTGGAGGGAAGCCCCGCACGCATCTGACCCCTAGAAGGGACGTTCTCCCCCTGCCAGCCACCGCTGGAAGCAGGCTGGGTGCAAGGGTACACGCACAACCCTACACAGACGAGGAGTGCCGCACAGAGCACATGGCCACGCCTGCATGCGCGAGTCACCACCTGCTCCCATGGACAGTGCTGCCAGGTGCAGGTGTGTGTGTGGGCCCCAGGGAGGGTCAGGCCGCTCCAGGCCCCTCTCCCGCCTATGGGAT